CCCCCCCCCCCCCCCCAAAAAAAAAAAAAAAAAAAAAAAAAAACGAATTGGCCCTAGTTGACCTGCTTGGCAAGGCAAAGTACCTACAGCAAGGCAGCTGCTGGCTCAGGAAAGGAACCCAGGAGCCCTGTGCTCACCGCTCCAGGTCCAGCCACCCCCTTGCATGGTGTCCTGGTGATATTGCCTACAACGGGAAGGCAGGTGGCATGCCCAGCACAAAGATTTTGGTTGAGTGACAAGGGAGGCTGGCAGCTGCCTGACTCTACTGCCCCTACTGCCTGGGAAGTATTTCAGCCACACTCAGTCCCCATGGCACAAGATCATGACAGAGTGGCCTGGGACATAGGGCTGTGTCACACATTCACAACAGGCAGTTTGTGGACTGTGCTCTGTGCATCACACCACCTTGTTATGTGCTCCCAGTGCCATGGTTGTGGGAGATCTGGACCAAAATGCTTTCAGTCTTGTACATCCCATCATTCAACACCAGAACACAACAGTCTCCAGCACAGACCTGTGACCCTCGAGAATAGGGCACCCTCCTCTTTTTCTTATCTATTGATCAGAGTTTGCCCTGGTTGGGCAACACTGACTTTTCTTGGTCCACCATCCAGAGTTGAAGAGAAAGGCAGGTGCCAGGGACAGGGAGGGATGCCAGGGTCTCCTAGAATCCCCAGTTCCCTCCTTTCATGAAGCAGATGGAGGGGGCAAGGTGATGTGACAGTGTGGGACACACATGCAAGGACAGATGGGAGAAAGGAGAAAAGCTCTTCTGATACAGATGGAGAACACCAGCAGAGACTCCACTTGTGCCACTGCCATGCTTCCCACCATGGTAAGGTGAGAGAGTTTGGGGATGGAGATGGAGATGGAGATGGAGATCACATGGGGCAGAACTGGCACAGGAGCAGGCAGCTAGTGCTGGGGAAGTGGGAGCAGGTGGCTGCAGCTGGGGGATGAAAGTACAAGGTCCAAGGGGGAGGACACGGAAGAGGTGCAGAGGCAGCCAGCACAGCCAGGTGAACAGGGAAGGAGTGGGGGGAAGGCAGGGAAAAGAGGCCAAGTGCAAAGAGAGCAAAGGCGGTGGAGAAAAAGAAAGCGTGTCCAGAGAGGCAGACATGAAAGGAGGAGTGAGGCAGGGGAGAGATGAAAGAGCGACGGCACGGGTGCTCCTGCCTACTCCCTGGGGCTCCCGGGGCTCTGTAATCCCCGGGGAGCTGCCTCCTCTCATGTGGTGGCCCGCAGCTGTGTGCGGTCGGCTCAGCCCCGCTGCTCCGCACAGAGGGACTTTCCAGGAGGGGGAGAAACCAACACAAAACACATGACTTAACCATCGCCTGCGAAGTTTGGCACATGCAGGGTCTGAGGGCACCCCAGCGCGCATCCCACTGGGTTTGGGGCCAGCCGCAGGGGTGTTGTCTTCTGCCCTAGGGAGCATCCTGACAGGCAGTGCTCCAAGGTGGTTACGCACATGTCAAGCAGGTGGGATGCGCCTGGATCAAGCATCACTCATGGCCCCATAGAGGACCCACAGAGGCATCCTAGGGCACAGATGTGGGTTTGGGGCCACATGTGCTCTTGTCCCTCTCTCTTGATCGAGTGCTGGTTTGCACCTCCTGGCCACCAGGCTTGTCATGGGGTACCAAGTGTGCAGCGGGACTTAACAGACAAAGCAAGCACCCATCCCACTGGGTCCTTTATTCTGTGGAAGCAGCCCTCCCAGTAAATTCATGACCTGGGATATCTCCATTCTCTGTGCCCAGTTCAGGCCACTGGAGTGGGGAACTTAGTTGTATGAAGGGATGGTGCTGCTGGACAGCCTCCCATTGAACACTGCAGGCGATGAGGATGTACGCCTCCTTAGAGATGATGAGCTCTCCAGTTTGGGGCATCCAGGGCAACAGAGTTCATTCCCATGGCAGTCCATTCCCTTTGTCTAAGG